GCATGCAGTGTCTACATGCGCCAACCGTTTAGATACTACGGCATGTTATTTACATATATATGAAAATATGTAAATAACTGCATCTATACAGCACCTGCACGGTCCCCATGTACATGTCTGGGCAGATTGTACCATGGACATATTTTAATGCAAAATATAGGGTTCGGGATCGGTGGTATCTTTCGTGTGTGTTTGCGTGTGTCTGGCCATACTCAACCAGGCAGTGGGCATGCTTGTCCAGTAGTTTGTCAAGACTACCCCATACCACCTGAACCCTAACAACATCCATCTTGCCTTAACTTTCTGGTTACTCACGGCTCTGTAGCATCTGGGTTGTCACTCACCCACAGACACATACAAATAGTAATAGTCATGCTAATCAGAATATTGTTATAGGAAGGAAATTCATTTCCAAATACTGCCACGAACGTGAACATGACTATGCGAGAAGTCAACTCAAAGCTGAAAACAATTCTGAGGAAGAAGTGCCTGGTGCCCAGATGCAGAGAGCACGTGGCCAAGCCGACCGCTTCTGTGGCCAAACCTGAGCCAGTAAGTCAAGGTGCCACAAAGGCAGTATCAAATAGAGGAACGATCAAGTGTGAAAGGTCACGAAGCAAGTAGCCTGCTGCTTGGCATCTGATCCCTTTGCTCCGCGCCAGTCGATTTGGAAACCACTGGCTGGATCCTCCCCAAAGGTAATGCACAGGGTTTTCTCCTGGTGCATTACCCGGGCCTTTTCCTGAAAACGCCTGGGTAATATTCTAAGACCTAGTTCGTCATAATACATAGCCATCTAAAGCCAGTACAGTGGCTGATGTATCCAGCCCATCCTGCACTATAACATTACCCCGGCGTTTTCATGAAAACGCATTGGTGTTCAAAAACTCCTAAAACCGCATGCGCTCCAAGCAAATGGCAATCACGGCATCACAGCAGAGACGGAATTGCCTCGGACACACAAGGCCCTGAATCAGCTGCTGAGCATGAGTGTCATCTGAAAGCCGTTCCAGTTGCTTGTCGCGAAGCTTAAACAAGAATGCCTCAGCTTTTATCGACTGCGTCAGGTTGGTAATGGAGTCCACGGTGAAGAGGCGCGATGGTGACCGCGGGACCTCGACCATGACCTGGAAGATGACACAACCAAGGGCCCAAAGATCTGCAGCAGCGCTCAGCCTAACTTCCGAACGCCCAGCCAGCTGACACTCCACAGGTCTGTAGGGCACCGTGAAAACTTCAACTCCAGGGCGAAGCACTCTGTCACTGTTGGTGTCAGCGGCCATGCCGAAATCAGCGAGTTTGAGATTTGGGCAGGAGCAAACATCCTTCTGTGCCCACACTGCCAAGATGTTGTTTGGCTTGATATCGAGGTGCAAGATTTGGCAGGAATGAATGTAGTCTGCAGCTCGCAAGAGCTGCAGGGACATCTTCCAGCGGGCACAAGGACTGAACGGCAACTCCAAGAGCAGCTCCTGCAGCGTGGTGTCTGCCAACTCCAACATCATGCCCATTGTGTGCTTGGCCCCGACCGTGTCCGCGAATGCGAGGCCATAAGAGGTGACGAGTCCAGGACCTCTCAGGTTGGCCAGGATGGAGTTTTCAACGGCTAGGTCGTTGATGGCAGGGTCCACAGTAGCGACCTTCACCGCGAACGGTCTTCCGCAATCGTCCCTCCCCCTGTGGACCTCCCCGTAAGCCCCCTTCCCCAGCAGCCGCTCTGTCCTGATACGGCCACCTTGGAAGCTCAAGGATATGGGCTCGTAGTTCTCAGGGATCCTGTTCTCTGCTGCACCCTGCGCATCTGCGTGCGCCGCTTCTCGCACTTCGCAGTGCTGCGGTTTGCCGAGCAAGACGTTCTGCATCTCCTGAGTGGCACGAGCCTTGGCGGCGGCAGCTACCACCCACTTCTCTTTGCCCTTCTCGCAGAGATTGTGCCTTGGTCGCAGGCTCCATGTGCAAAAGTGAGTTCTGAGATTCTGGAAATAAAACCATCCTATCGACATGCTTCCGAATCTCAACTGCAGCAGATGTTCCAGCGCAAGCGAAGTTTCGACATGGTCAACTTGCCCTCAGGAATCTTGCCGCGGACACGCTTTGTGCAAGGCTCCTGGACATATTTTCCCCCGAGCATGTCTTTCACGTACAGTGCGAAAGCGTCCGCGTATTTGGTCATGGGCAGGGCCGGCTCTACTAAGTACTACAGACGAGTACGAAGGCGTCTTGGAGCACAGGCCTGCAGAGTGCATCATGTCCATGATGGCTGGGGTTTGGACGCAAAGACGTCAGTCACGCACACAGGCTCTCTCACGACAGCGACGAAGATCAGAATGCGATGCTCTGAGCCTGATTTTTCAGAATAGCCGCTGACTCTGATTCCCCTGAGCACAGGTCACTCTTCTCGAGGCTCAAAATTGCATGGGTTCAGACCGAGCTGTCCATTTCGAAACTTTGCACAACGCCACCATGCCTGTCAGGATGTCTGCGGCAACATATGGGACAGACAACGCGTTCCCGGACGCCTTGACAGCTGCGGGACGTGACATTGCATCCACTCGGACCTGTTTGGTCCCGGCTGTCTTGGCTTGCCAGGCCTCCACTGGCAGCACACGAGATGCAAACGCCTCTTCAGGCGCCAAGAAGCGTTTCTTGACCGGTCGTACACGAGTCGTCCTTACCTGTTCTAGTTAGGCGCAGTATCTCTCAACTGTAGCTCTATAGTTGGTCGCTCCCAGGACAGCCACACTCGGAAGATCCCTCCCAGGGACCAACCTCTGCCCTCCTGAGGACAAAAAAACAACCCCTGCAGGAGGACTGAGAAATTACGGGGCCAAACAGATGTTGTTGCGACATCTCCTGTCATTACCCTGGCAGTGGGCTGCTTCTAGACACGAAGTCTTCAAACTTTCCAAGACACTGAGCGGCTTTCATGTTACTGCACAGCTACTTTCGCGAACGGCATGTGCCTGTACAGGGCGTCATGGAAAACTGAAGACCGAGCAGCAGGATGAGGACGCCTCTGAACCCTGCCGCTCAGTCATCTGCGCCGCTGAACCGCCAAGTTCGCGAATGGTAAGTGCCCGCATGTGGCCGCAAAAATCACTGCCCAACAGCAGGCCAATACCCCTTTTTTTTGTTTGTATGACTCAGCTTGAGGTGCCGCTTCTCTGCAGAGTTTTCAGCCCTGGACCTATGATTGCTTTAATATGTATGTGAATCACACATGCTGGCCCAGTCAAAATCTGTCGGACTAACGTGGAGGTGGGCTTAGAAACAAGGGTTCGCTAGCCGAGAATGTCTGTTTCAAGAGTCCAAACATCGAGCACCTCCAGTCGTGCCATTCAATGCAGGCCCGGAGACAAGCGACAAACCTGTCTCCGCCCTTCTTTAGTCAAATGGACAATGCTGTCGATACTTCAGTTCTCCACGACAGGACTGCAAGGAAAATTGCGACATCCAGATAGTGCCGGTGTCGCTCTCACACTCCTCTTTCTGCTCATCGACATGCCTTCTGCTTCTGCAATCGGTTTGGCCCCGAGCCCTATGTACCGGAAGCCCCAATCCCTAACACTTCAAGTAGATTTGGGGGCAGAGCTCTGATCTCGAACTGAACATGGGTGCAGCACTCACAGGTGCCGCCCTGAGCGTCGAAGAGGAATATGTTCGGGCAGCAGCAGTTGCCAAAGGTCTCTTTCAAGAATTGTTGGCACGGTGGCTTCCACTCCACGGACCAGCCCAGCTGCACACGACCACGAACACCACCACCACCAAACCTCCTCTGCATCTCAGCACAGAGGCTTTCCATGGCCTGGCCATGGGAGAATGTCATGACAGAATGCAAACCGTCTAGTCTATACCTCATTCCTGAACACACACGTTCTCACTGATCTTACACATCGACTGAGAATCGGACCGACTCCGGGCACCCGACACCGGAGAAGAAGGTGTCGACTCTCCAGGTCAACTGACGCAACCTTTCCCTCAGAAGCTGCTTGCCCAGCAAGGCCTCTGCTTTGTTCAGGAACACAGAGGGCCACCTCCATTGGTCTTTCAAGTGTTTGTGGCCTAAAACGCCCATGTTCCTGGGCACCGTCGTCTTAGGCCAGTACTGGCACCTGAGCAAGAAGTCATCGGAAAGCTTTGCACGGGATTCACTTAAACTAGACATGACCACGGATGCAGCGGAGGAGCTGCTTGGTCTCCTTGAGTTTGGGAGCCTTGATCACCTTCTTTTGCTTCACCACCTTGCCGGCTCCTGCGCTCCTGCGGGCTGGCCAACATCCGAAATTCGTACTCGCACGTTCCGGCCCATGTCATGTCATTTGTCACGACACCAGATTTCATCCTACGCACCTCATCAGTCTGGAGCGCGCCAATGCACTCCGGGTGAAAGCTGACATAGGTGGCACGGGTAGTGATGGGCGGCGAGGTCTTGATCGAGCAACAAAGAGAAACTGTCTGTCATGTCATGTTGGTGCCCGAGCGTCATTAGCTGCAACCTTGTTGCACGCTACCCACAGTCATGCCCCGCTGCAGAATTGCATGCTGGCACACCGCAGTGGACATTTCCTTCAAGCTGGCTCAGTCTTATTATTATTGCCACTTGCAATCGCGGCCGCTCATTTTAAGTTTCTTGATTCTGAGACTGCTCGTGCGTAGCATTGTTCTAATTCTACAGGCTAGTTGCAGTTGCGATAAATAAGTAAACGTCCGCGACCTCAACCCCGGCTGCTAGCAGCCTAAGGCCTGCAAAGGGAGATGTGGCCAATACAAGCCCCGAAGCATCGAATACTGGGAGCGGAGCTGGCTTTGTGTCAAGTGCGACTGCCAGCTCTGGTGTGTGCAGCAGCGGTAGCAAAACGAGACCAAGAACACAGAGCAAGGCTGAACTAGAATACGTCATGTTCACTTCTAGACATCTGGCCTCAACCTCTGCTGTACTGTGCACAGAGGCTGCCAGTTGTGCACAAACTGCCTGGGCAGGTGACCCTGGACGTCGCTCACTACTTCTTGGCGGACTTCTTCTTGTCAGCAGGCTTCTTTCTCTTCTTGTCGGACTTCTTCTTGTCAGCAGGCTTCTTTCTCTTCTTGTCGGTCTTCCTCTTGTCAGCCGGATTATTTTTCTTCTTGCCGGTGTTCGTCTTCTGCTTGTCACCATCTTTTTTCTTGTCATCGTCTTTCTTGCTGTCATCGTCTTTCTTGCTGTCATCATCTTTCTTGCGGTCGTCGTTGTATTCGAAGAACAACAACTCTTCCATGTCGCTCATGGTCATATACTTGATGAAATCTCTGACTTGATACTTCGCCATCCTAAAGGCATCTGCCTCGTCCTCTGCATCTCCTTCGAGACAGTGATCCGCTTTCCAGCGAATCGCCAAAACGCGGACGAGCATGGCGAGCTGTGCTCGCTCGTGAGACAACATTGCACTTGTGCGATGAGCCATGCTGTGTAAAGCGGCGGCATTCACGCAATGGTTCAACTTTGAACAACATGCGCAATGCGAATTCATGTGTTATTCGACAGAAGTCGAAAGTTAATCACAGATGTGTTTGCAATGAGTTTAAAAGGAAGTAAAACCCGCACCAAACTATGTATACGTTAGCCGGTTGTTTGCAAGCCCCAAGAGGCCCGGAACATAAATGAACGTGCGATATACACATTGCCACAGCATGGCCATGAATAACTTTTGACTTCACAAGCGCACACGGCTGGTAATGTATGGCACCCACAGCACGGCAGATATCTTTTCGGTCTCCCCATCGATCGAAGTGTCCGTCCATCAATGCCGACCGTCCCAACGCCAGCTTGCACTCTTCTGAGCCTCGCAGGGAGGACCAGAGACCAGAGGGAGACCTGGAGAGGCAAAGAGAAGGAAGCAGGACCGACAGAGAGTGTCGAAAGATGGGCACAAATAGAGCGAGAGGCCAACAGGCCAACAGGCAAAAGGACAGATGGCAGCAAAACGAAAAGCATGGATAACTGCACGAGGAGACTTATTAAGTGATCGACAGAGTTATCCGCGACTGCAAGGCAATAGCTTCATACCAACGACATGTATGGATGCAGAAATGTGCAGCTGTGCAGCCTGACCCACCATCCATGTCACGACGTCGCCATAGCATTGGCATGCTTTTTCACTTCCTCGGCCGTGGCCTTCTGGTGCCCTTGCAGATAGCATGCCTGGCACAACTACTGGGCAGAGGGAACGAGGAGAAGACAGAGCGAGAGAGACTGAGAGTCAGAGAGAGACAGAGAAAGATAGAAAGAAAGAGAGAACGCGAGAAACAGACAAAGAGCGAGAGAGAGAGAGAGAGAGAGAGAGAGAGAGAGAGAGAGAGAGACAGAGACAGAGAAAGATAAAGACTCTTTCAGAGAACGAGTAAGGAAACAGCGAAAGAGACAGACTAGGAGAGAGATGGACAGATCGAGAGAGATAGAAAATATTTGCATACAGCAACAGAACTCACTCGATTCACCAAGAGCCAGAAAGCGAAAGAAACAAAGAATGAAAGAAAGAAGAAAAGGCACTGAGATAGGTACATAGCTAGATAGATCATTTAATAAAAACAGAGTGGGAGAGGGAGGTAGATACAAAGATAAAGATGGATAGTTAGAAATAATATAAAAGATGGACAGACGGAGCGAGGGAGCCTCAGAGAGAGATACAGACACCAAAGAGCCAGCAAGGAAAAGAGAGAAAGACAGACAGAAAGATAGAGAGAGAAAGAGAGAAAGAGAGAGAGGAGAGAGAGAGAGAGAGAGAGAGAGAGAGACAGAGAGAGAGAGAGAGAGAGAGAGAGAGAGAGCAACCTGCGTTTGGTCTCCAGCTTCACATTGTGCCAAATCGCCTCTGGGAAGCAGTAACGGGTCGTCTGGACTTTTAAGTGACCCTCTGGGAACCAGAAACCGCCACCAGCATAAAGTAAGCGTGAGAGTCACGGGTTTGGCCAAGGTCTAGGCTTAAGTGGCGAGTGTCTCAGCACATACTTAACTGTCCTGCTGCCTCAATAGGGGAGGCAAAGAATGCGGCTGTCACAGAGGTCGGGATCTCGGCTGAGATGGCCTGCCAATCGAAGACCGCGAAGCCGGATGTGTTCATTGGGAAGACCGGAGGATTCGGATTGGGGATTCCAGAAGCAAAAATACAATGGCGTGTGGCCTCTTCGAGCAAAAGTTTCTACGGCACTCCCGTTGCTCCACGTAAGTCAACCCAAGAGATATCCGCAGGACAAGCGTTGAAGTGTGCCAGTTTGAGAAAGACTCACACAAACGGGCTCCCTAACATTGGCACACTGCAATGGCAATGTCTCGGAACAGTGCCACCGGCTGCCAACTCATGCGTAGACAAGGGCCCGACACTCCGATGAGGACTGACCATGTCCAGCCTGGGCCAGCGCACGACGGAGAACAACACAGGGAACTGCTGTAGTGTTTGAAGAATCTCTGAAACATAGCACTTTCACTCAATAGCCACGCACGGACATGCTCCCGCACGCCACAGCACTGTCAAAATTATTGATGTTCTGGAAGTTCTCTGCGCCGATTGACCACATCCAGGCTGGGCTACGGCACAGTGGGCCAACAGAGTGAACTGATGCAGAATCGATGCCTTGTTGCCGTCGCAGAAGTCTGCCTCCGACCGAAGAGTTCGGAAGAGGCTACAAGAGTGCAGAACAGGGCAGAGGAAAGCAAAAGAGGACGGCACAGGGTCCCGGCCTTCACCTCAGCACATGCCTCGCGGAGCAAGCCTATGTACAAAACGCGCTCCATGGCACGAGGAGCAAGGGGAGGAGAGAGAAGCCACGAGCCGATAAAACTCTGGCCAGGAGGGAATGCAACAACTGTCGATGTCACATGTTGGGCCGTCTATGATCTCGGGCCGCTCCATTCGGAACGACCCCGCGACCGGAACTTGCACTTTGCAACTTGATCTGATGACCTTCTATGCTCGGGAGGCCCAGTGAGGAAGATTCAGGCCTCCTGCAAGTCCGCAGTAGTGACAAGGGCTTGGTGGACAATAGCTTTACTACGAACACGGGCAAGATTCAGAAGCAAGCTTCAGAAGCCCACGGTCATACACCATGTCCTAAGACTCGCGACGCTGCAGCGAGGGTGAGGCCACCTCAAACCCTGCCGCAGCATCTGAGTCCGACAGTGACAACTTGCACACATCAGCGGTCTTGCCGTTAACATGCTTCGGAAGTGGAGAATTCACGACAACTCCGCTCGGGACAAACACTTTTCACTTGCGCAGTGTTCATGTACTTTCCGTTGCTTCAAGGACAATGACCTGCCCTGCCCAGAATCTGGGAGCGAAGATG